TTTTTTTTTTCATTTAGCAAGTATTCTATAAGTGACATGAAATATTCAGTGTTCTCTTTTACAATAATAGACTTTGTGTTGAGTGATTTTGCCCTACTGTAGGCAAATATACATTCTAAGTGCATTTAAGACAGGCTAGCCTCAACTATGGCGTTCAATAGGTCAGGTATATGAACTGCATTTATTACAGGATATTTTCAGCTTTGGATATTTTTAGCTTACAATGGACTTATTGGGGTGTAACCCCATCACAAATTGAGCAACATCTGTACATATATACAGACAGAGACACATACATATGTTTGCATATACATGTGTGGACGTATGTATGCCATGAATTCAAATAGAAAAAGGAACTGAAAGGTTATTGATGGTGTAACAGTGAATATTAGTTTGCTACTGAGAAGTGATTAAACTTACATTCTTTTTGTTGTAACTCAGATCAATAATGTAAATATGTTGCCTTGTCTGGCTTACAGAATGCATTAAGATGGTTTCTTTTGTATGAACAGACAACTTTTTTTATGATTTACCCTCAAATGTCTTTTTATAAAAATGTTTTGATCTTAAGTAAAATAAAAATGTATCATAGTTATACATAATAGTGCATTATAGTTATATATAATAGTGGGGTTCAGTTTGACGTATTCATAAATACATACCAGTACTTCCACTGACCCTCCTCACCTCCCTCCCCCAGCCTCTTCCTCTATTGTATTGCTCTTCCTTCTATGTATTTATTTATTTTTAATTGGACATATATAATTGGAATGCATTTTGAAATAGTCATACATGCACATATCATAATCTGATYAACCTCACTCCCCACTTCTTCCCCTTTCCCTTCTGTCCTCCCTCCCCCCACTCTACTAATCGCCCTTCTATTTTCATGASATCATAAATCCTATTTTATAAGAAAGTATTGATTTCATGTAATGTATTTAAAACTACACCGAAAGTGAGAAATGGTGGTTATATGGATACGCTTTCATACCATCATAAAGTCAAGAAATCCTAAGTCAAATCATCGTAATAGCATTGTAATGTGGTTACTTTATAGTGATTAGGAGGCCCTGTGGACATTTTTTTTTATATAGAAGTGTTTCACTTTTTGAAAAATTTTGTTCTTTTTAAATATACATGACAGTCAAATGCCTTTTTAGACTCTGAATAATCATCGGTCTGATTAAATCATAAATGGCTTAATAATATGGGACATCTGTTAGTTGTAGATGAAGCTCACTGTACATTTTCAGAATGTCTATCCACCTTTCAAAATAAAATCGGCTCCCCTCAGAAGTTCATTATGTATTTCTGTTATTTCTCTAAAACAAAACTTAACATTAAAATTTTAATCACGATGTTCTACCTAGAGAAAGCTCCTGGATATTCCACTTATTTCTGCAACATAGTGCCTTTGGCTGCTGGAGAGGACAGAGGTTTAGAATAGGGGTCAGGAGATAATAGTCCAGAATAGATCTTGCCTCCTGGTATAATTATCTCAGCAAGCACCAGAATCACTCTGTACCCTAATGTGCCTTCTCTTAAAAGAAATTTCTTCTGTGCACCACAGCTTCTCCTTTGAAGTATAACTAACCATGTTTTTAAGCTCTCTTTGCACTCTTTGGTGTGCAGTCACTGGTAAATATTTGTTTCTTCATTCCTTAGTCTTTGAATGTTCTGGCCCTGGGTCAAGGGGGGATGTAATACTGTGGGTATAAGCTGCTCGGTAAGAACACCACCCAAAGCAAGCCTGGTGTGCCTTAACAGACCTTGCTACAGATGTTCTCGTGTGCCCACTGCGGCCAGTGGAGCGCTTCCAAGATCTGCGTCCTGATGAAGTGGCCGATTTGTTTCAAGTGACCCAGAGAGTCGGGACAGTGGTGGAGAAGCATTTCCAGGGGACCTCTCTGACTTTTTCCATGCAGGTGAGTATACAGGTTGCTCAACATTGACTTTTTTCTTCCTCTTTAAGTGCTAGTATTGGGCTTTCTACCTCCAACATAACATCCCACCAGGAAGACAGCTCTGGTTTTCTCCATTTACATAATAACACAAAATTATATTACTAATCCAGGGCAACTCTATAGTCCATTGGCCCCAAGATGGACTGTGGAATGTTATTAGGGGCAGTGCCTGTACCATTGTTTGCAAAGCAGATGGGAGTAATGGACAAAGGATGTAATGCACATTAAGATATTCCAGAGCTTATATTGGAACTGGTATTTTCTTGCCATGGTAAATGTTGTGAGCACTGCCTGACCTGAGCCCTGTTCTAGTTTCCAGGGAGCAGTGATAAGCAAGTTAGGTTGAACCTTGCCCTCATAGGGCTTGTCTTTTATATTTTCCTGCCTTCAATGCAAGCTCCACATCTGATTTAAAGATAACCAAAAGGTGTGATACTTCACCTCCCCAAACATTTTCAACCTTCTTTTAATGGCCCACCCACACCATACCCAAAGAGATCCCCAATCACAGGAGAGCTTTAGGCAGAAGTTGAATCAGTACTTCTCAGGTTTGAAGTAGGAAGTCCATAATGAGTTAATAGCTGGGAGGTGAGTGAATCAGTAGTAAGGTACCATGAGCCCCTTCAGATCAAATAAGGAGAGGGCTGATGTATTAGTGCATACACAAAGTCCTTTGTGACTCTGAAATTTAATATTTTGGAACCTGCCCTCTAGAACGCATCTGATTCTTCCAAAATGTGGAGACTCTGTCCTCAGACTTTTAGTTAAACTGCATGTTTACCTCCTTAGCTCTCTGCCATAGATTTTCACAGAGAACTATTAAAGCCTTTGACTAAAAATGTTCCTGTGCTTCTTAGGGGGAAAAAATGCTGTTTGATTGAACTGATAGTATCTAAAGTTCCCCCCAAATATTGTGCATATGTGTGTGTCTGTTGTATGATAAACCATTTAAGTCACCTTTGGGCAAGGTACTTCAGCTCAAGGTGGGTTTATCAAGCTTATGTTGTAAACTTGGTTTCCAGAAAGACCAAGTAAAATGGGTGAAAACATCTGTAAGTGTTCAGTGAAATAACAGAGGAAAATTCATGGTTATAGGAAATACCAGCGCTGCTTATTTAACATGGTTCAACAGAAAGTGAATTCTATAACAAATGATATATCCCTTATAGCATTTTCATACTGTAAGTGTTGTCAAACTTATTTTTTAACTATAATCCACAGTAGATATATATATTTATTTCATGATTACATATATTGTTCCCCATACATACAGCTATATAGGCACGAGAAACAAAAGAGTTTCTCAAAACAGTGCTTATCATTCTGTGCATTCTAAAAGTCTCTGTCCTATCACTCTGTGCTCTCTTTATTTCTTCATTTTGGTTGCAATGTATTAAATTGACTTAATGACCCACTAATATGTTGTGACTCTGGGTTTGGAAAGCACTGATGGACACGGGTATGCTTCTGGTCACATCAGGGCAGGAATTCTCCCACCAATCATCAGGTTCATAGAGGGAGACAGAATTAGCCAAGCCATGGTTGTTCCATTTTGTATAGTCTCATTGTAGACAATGAGTTTCTTGTGCTGTGCTCTGGTGATCAAGTAGGTCTGCTGGTTTTCAATAAAGACAGTAGTTTTGTTGGACATCAGAAGCTGGGAGAGAGAACCAGGATGGGGAAAAAGAATCCTGCTACAATGAACACTCTCATTTTCTTCCCCAAGGTCAGAATAGCCAGAAAGGACTCCTCCCCCACAAAACATCCCATATTCTTGCTTAATGGATTATGATTACAGCACATTTCCTGAGGAGAGACTTAAAGTAATCAGGCATTAATTAAACCACATCTGATTTAAAGATAACCAAAAGGTGTGATACTTCACCTCCCCAAACATTTTCAACCTTCTTTTAATGCAATTAAAACCATTGCCAAGAGCAAAGAGCATGGAAAGTAGCAAGGGGGTTGACTTACTGGATAATTTATGTCATTTTTATACATAACTTCTCACTCTCGGGCGGAAATGGAGACCTGTCTGGTCCCACACATTGGAATCAAATGGTCCCCATGAGAATGCTATAAATTAACACACAATGAAATTGGATCTAAATTATTAACGGGTGATATTTCTGAATAAGCATGAGATACCATCTATCTATTCTCACCTCTGCTGTTTTTTTTTTTTCTTCCCCTTCTTCTAGGATGGCCCCGAAGCCGGACAGACTGTGAAGGTGAGTGCTTATTATGTGCATACAAATTAATAAGGRGCAATTATGGGAACTAATAAAAAATCACAACGAGTCATTTGCAGCACATTGCTATTTCATTATGTTATCTTCGAGGTCAGAGAGACCCTCAGTGTTGGAGCCATAAATCCTGACATTATAAACTGTGCCAAACAGTATGTTTCCCATTAGTTTACAAGACATTTACCTTTTTGTAGTAAAATTATTACTGTGCAAAAGCTAAAACAGCAACTAAATCAAGGAGTCCAAAACCAGAAACTGAAGTCCATGGTTTCCTGGCAGGGATTGCATAAACACAGCACATCCGCTCCGCGTGGACTGCGTGTGTTCCATGGTAAGCCCGGGACACCTTTGACGTGCTTTTAGTTCTTCACACTCTCTGCCTTTTCTTCATGTTCTTGAGCGGAAGAACAAGGTAGCGGTGGCCCCAGGTGGCTTCCTTCCCTGCTGGCAGTGCTTACACTGTTCTCTGCACCCCCACACCTATTCCTTTCCTCCTTAGGTACTTAAATACCAAAGTTCAAACCAGTGGAGCTCAAAAATTGGTCTTTAAATGTGCTAGAGAGGAAAGGAGGATTTATTAGGATAGTATCTGACTCCATAGTAAAAAGACTAAACTCCTGGCTGATTGTGAAGCTGAGTTTCAGCTACTTTAATACAAATGCAAATTTCTATGGAGTTAAGTCCTATGCCTAAGACCTATATAGAAAAGGCTATTTTTGCTTTTTCTTGTTTTTGCTAAAAATAGAGGCAAATCAGACTACTATGCTAATGTTATGCTTTGTATAAGGTTTTATGACTCCAAGGCTGGCTGGGACTAGGCAGCATAATGTTTGGCACCAAACTACACCAAATGAACATGGTTCCGTTTTCATCTTAGTTTGGATATCACTTTAATGTTTAACACATATACTGTGGAAGTTTTAAAATAAAATGTCTGGGAAGTGCCTTTGAGGAGTTAATGTCTCAAAGGAGCTGCCACCAAATGTGCCACCAAATTCTTAGTAACTCCTGCATTGCTTTAGACACATGATGTTCTCATAGGGACAGAGGGGACATTCAGCTTGCATCAATACTTCTGCCTCCCTCCATGACAGAATCCCAAATGTGCAGACCCTAAAATGGGATATAATACCAGTGGCTTCTTAGTGAAATCTGTTCTTGAAATACAAAATACAAATATTTAAACCTGGTTACCAGAGTTTCAAAAACTCAGTATTCAAATGTGTATTCCAGTCACACTGGATGAGATGCTTTATGCAATATCTGTCTGATGGAATTCCTTTAGCCACTGAAAGTGAGAATGTAGGGGTATAACTGACTGTGGATGAATGCACAAATCATATTCAGTGGAATGCACAGATTGGTAATATACATATATTGAGCATAACTGAAATTTATATGAATAGATAGGTTATATGATCTCAACATTTTATTTCAGAATTCTGAAAGGGGTGTTAAAATATTTGCTATGCAAACAGGTTCAAATAGAGACAGAAAGTATATTAGTGGCTTCCAGGGACTGAGGGAAAGAGTGAATTGGGGATGAGTCCAAATGGGTATAGGTCTCTTTTGGTGGTAATGAAAATGTTGTGGAATTAGTGGTGCTTGTACAACACTGAGTGTAATAAACCCCACTGAATTGCAACCTTTAAAAGGGTGAATTTATGGTGTTTGAATGATGTCTTGATTAAAATAAAACACATTTGATAAAAATAAGCATTGTGTCTAACTAGGCTGAGAGCCATAGCTATAGACTCTCATGACTCCAATAGTAACAACTTTTTGATGTTCCAATTATCTGACCAAAATCTCCTCATGATTTTATTAGCTTTGATGGAAATGGTGATGGTTCATTCTTAACATATAGCAATATACAGCACTTATCTATGAATTGCCAAATGTAGTTACTGTCACCATCATTGTTATTTAGCTTAAGTTGATTTTAAAAAAAAACCATAAGTGTTATTTTCTTTAAAATTAACAGATTGTGTTGTTTGGAATATCTTAATTGTCTTGTCTCCAATGTGATTACATAATTTCCTTAGTATGAGTTAATGGGGACATTGCAAACCCTTTGTGGAATACGATGGTTAAAAGAAATATGTGTGTGTGTCTCTCTTTTTCCCTCTCTCTTTCTCTCTCCCTCTCTCTCTCATGCACATGCTCAATATATGATGAAGCTTCCAAATTGTGCATTCAGGCCAAGTTCACTTATCTAAAGATGTCTCTGTTTTTCAGACCTCTCCCACCTGTGTGTAAATTAACTTTTGGTGGTAGTTCAATAAGAGGTTGATTCTCGGTTCTTATTTTAAATCTACTAATTTGGGGTGTTGTGATTGGGACTGGGGAGCTCTTCATTGTGGAGGAGCACACACTCCGTGATTTGTTTGAGAGTTCAGAAATTTACCAGCCTCACTATTTTATGGTTCTTCAATAGTAAGCGATGATAACTATATAACCGTGACCCACGGAAGCCAGTCTTGAAGTTGGCAGCCCCTCGGGGGAGCACAGCAGCCTTCTTACCGTTCAGCTGTCCGATTCTGAAGACTACACTTGGAGCATTTCATATTTTGAAACTCACACAGTTGCACATTTTGAAGCAGGGTTTGACAGGCTGCCACAGGAAGCACAGAGGCCGTTCTCTTCATCTTTGCCTCTGTGTGTGATTCTCTCGCCGTTCCGCCTGATGCCTGGGTTCTAAACCATTTTTGTCTCACGCTGGGTCGTAATAGCAATAAGCCCAGTAATGGTCTTTTCCCCCGAAGCAGCTGTTGTTTCTGTTAATGAAGGCGCACCACTGAGTTAGCCTCTTGAACATGATGCCACTTGAGGGGTTTTGTTTCAGAGGCTTTAGATTCTGCTTTGCAAAGAGCAAGGGTGGCGTGGCTTGCTCAGTAAGGCACTTGTAGCAGGAAAAGGGAAATTCGAAAGAAAAAAAGCTACCTCTTACTTCACAATTGATTGTTAGCTCTCCTTTTTGGTTTTAACAGTAGTAGAACATGGCCGTCCACCAGGGGACCACAGTAGTGATTTGGAGGTCCTCAGGCTTGGGAAGCACTCTCTTTCTTCTCAGCCATTTGCCTCTCACATCAGCCTTCCCTGACCCCCACCCAGAGTAGTCCTCCAAAACCTCCTGTTCCAATTATTTTATTTGAATTCTGTCTTTTACTTGTGCTTATGTTCCTTTATTTCTGCTGTGTGTTTTGTCCCCCCAAGAAGGCAAGTCTCCTCCAAGGACCTGGATTCTGTGCTTGTTTATGATGGGGTTCAGAACTTGCTACCCCAAATAGGACACTTCATATCTTGAGTATTTTAAGGAGAAGGAAATAGAGAAAACCAGACAAGCAGGAAGGTCACTTTCTGGCCTTGTCCCTCCTGGACTAGAATGGATTGTRAAAGAATGATCTGACCTACCTTCCTTAAAGGTAGGTCACATGACCCTCATTTCAGAAGTTTCCTGCCTCATACATGAAGGATAAGAACCACCTCAGCACATATACTCTGCTAAGTGCACCCCCCCCACTGTATTACCATAGGCCAGACCCTTTTTATCCTCCAATCATATGTCTTTCTGATTCTCTAATAATAGTTTCCCCCTGTTTCATTGGGTCTTCTTTTCTGAAACCTCCCACATCACCTAAAACGTTTACTAAATTAGTTTTGCTGGTCTCTTGTTAATCTATATTTTGTTACATGGATCTTAACCACGAGCCTAGTGATGGTGAAGGAAAAGATGCTTCTTTCTCTCCCTTATGTTCTCCATGGCTCATTTGTTTGAGGAAGATAATAGGACTTTGCTTGACAGAAGCAATCTTTGCTCCTCTCTCTAATTTGTGTAACATGAAGTAGCAGATGACGTGTGTTTTCTAGTGTGCAGTGAGGGGTCTGGATTTTATCAAGTTTCTATCAAATATCTCCCATATTCCAAGTATCACTGACAAAGACCAAAATTTCCACTGAACAAGTTCTCACATCACAATCCAAAATTTAATTCCAACTAACTAAACCAGTAAGGCAACATTCATTCCTTTGAAAGGGATGCTATGTAAGAAGTTTAACGTGAGCTATCTTTTAGGGCAATTACTATGCACCTCTCTGGGTGGGAGGATGTTTTAGGTATATTAAAGAGAGATTTATACTGGGAAGGTAATCTGGAATCTCATAAGAACTATTTATAGAACATGCTTGCTTACCATCTTCTGTTTATGGTGCTTGAATGCTCTGCTTAGAGATTTAATTTTATAGTATCAATGCATTGGGAAGTGTCTCTTAATAATTGTTGAAATATTAGCAATTACTTTTCAGATTGCTCTAGAAGAACAAGAAAAGGAATTCTTTTAAAAAAAGTGTGGTTAATTTTTTTTAAAGCTTCTATTCACTGAGGAGTTTTTATGGTCCTATACTAGATTTTCTACATAACATGGAGATTTAGCCATCTTTAGTATCATGAACATAGAGGATATTTTACCTCTTTGTGAAGTCAGATAATTAATACACTTGGATATTGGTCACTGAAGGAATATTAGCTCTGTGGCTTACTAGCTATGAAACTTCAGGCCAGCCTTCTACCCTCCCTGAGCATCCATTTCCTCCTTTTTCAAGTGGAAAATGTCTACCTCTTATATTGAGTGACAATGACGAGCAACTGACCAGTATAGAACAGCATAGGTAGAGGAGATTGACTAGAACATGCACAGGCATGGAACCCATACCCAGACCACCCAGTTCTAATCCCAGTTCTAATCCCTGCCACACACTACCCTAGGGACCCTGTGTATGTTTCTTAATATGGATCTTAACATCAATGTTCTTATCTGTAAAATAGGGTGGGGTGGGCCGTGTATCTGGCATTGAGAATGTTTGCAGGCTGCTGAGTTTGCTTAATTAATGTACAGAGAATATTCTCACTATTAATTACTGCCTACTAGCTTAAATTCTTGGGAAAATTTTCCTCTTATATGACTTGGACTCCTCAAAAATCT